TATATTTTCAGCCTGTGTTCAATCATTACACTTTCGAAAATAATACTGTCAGAGTATATCCGTGTTCAATACTTCATCTTATATTTTGTATCTTTGTATCATTATTAGTCATTGATTTCCCCCCGTATAATTCCATTATCATCATTACTCATAGATAAATCATTTTTTGTTCGGAAATTAATCGGTTTTAGCAGCATGATTCAACTTATTAGTCATTCATTCGGGACCAGGTGGTAAATCAGGACAGTCTTATATCAGATGTCATCACGTACGGTCTAATTTTGTGATCGACATCGAAAAATACGCGAGAGGAATTATTTATCGTTTCAAACTGAGTGTTCCCTAGAAACTGAGTGATCGTATTGATTCGTATATTATAGTGTTTTTGTATTCCCCATTCTATTCAATAATTATTATATCGGGATCGTGTGTTGTTCTAGTGTTTCGTGTTGGTGAGTTCAGAAAAATTCTCTCAATTTTTCCTTATATTTCTCTGTATTCATTTATCTTCATTACCCTATACAGGGTATGTCACGACAAGCTAACACTATCTTTAAATCGAGAATCAGTCGAGAGAATTTCATGAAAACGTGCGTGCTTATATTTTGGTATACGCTCTTTCCATTAAAGATATGTTCGACAATGCAGTGTTGCCGCTTCTAGTAGAAAGTAGTAGCAACATTGATATTCCGAACGCAACACCCTATATTTTATCGCATTTCAATATTCTCCCTGAAGAACTGATCTCATCGATCCATCATACTTGGGGTCTATCGAAAATGATTACAGAGATATAGGGTGTTCAAAATCGATATTTTTCGACTTTAGGATTTTTTATTTGTGTCGAAAATGTTCATTCCGGACATACTTCCGTCATGTGATAACGAGTTGAAACAAGAAGCAAATAGATGATGATGTTGCCTTTGCGATTATCCAAACGTGCCGCGATTCTAACTGATCTAAGTTAGTGGCAGAGCGTCAATACTTCCGAGAATATGTAGCTCCCCTCTATAAAGATGATATACGATCGACCAGTGTAAAACTAAACCTAACTAGGTTGTCTTCTAGAACGACAATAGTCGAATATAACACTAAAATAGAATGACAGACATACTATCCCCAAAGACTACAAGGAGATATACTGATATACTGAATGTGATAATGATAATATACCGATTTTGGCCAAATTGACGGAAAATTCGAGATGACAACGAATATATTTTTATGTATGGACTATTCCACTCTTGATATCGAGAACCAATCAGAATCGGCCATTTTCACGGTTTCTTCTGTATTCTAGCGATATTTTTTGTTTATTAAATTTTATTGGACTTGCTCTACCAATACAGAAGCCGAATTGACCCACACGTAACCGACAGACCTCGTTCATCAGCGATAAAAGTTTGACATCGTGTCTGGTCAAGATTGCTTTGGATTCAAATCTGAGACAATAACCTCTAAGTATAAACTTTATTTTATTAACTTATAATTCGCGTTCGCGAGACATTTTGTACGAAAGGCGAGACAATTTTATTCTAGCTGGACGTTTCATGTGTAGTTTAAAAAGTTTGCATATTTGTTGACGGTCTGACACAACAATACTAGAATTCAATGTTCCTTTTTAAAATAATCTTCATCAATCACTCAAGTTATTGTGACTAATATGATTATCAGATGATATAACGCAACTGATAGGGTTGTTGCGCGATGATACGAAGGTCGGTGGTTCGAGCCCCTCGGCGATGTTATCTTCTTTTTTTAATTATTTCATGTCACATAAATTCAATTCATGTTGTTTGAATTGGATAGGAAATTTATACACTCTCTTGAGAACAACCATCTCCAAGATAATGAACAAAATACTGTTTATCAAAATTGTACATTCCACTTTGTGAATAACTATAAGTAGGTAGTTGATTTCTGAAAAATTGAATTATGTATTTCATCACTATCATTATGTTCTTCTTCGCAGTTTGAGTTGGAATATACTCAAATTATGTTTCCTATTTCTTATATAATATATTGTCTCATTCAATCATCATGAAATAGTCATACGAATACAACTCGTGAAACTATTTTTCCTGGAAATATTCGTCGATTGACATACTCCAGCTTGCTGCTCTAATTTCGCTCATGACATTGGTCCAAAATTACTCGCCTACGGCTCGTAGTTTTGATAACAATGTCATTCACGAAATTACTAGGCAATAAGCTGTCCTAACAATCACCGAATATTTCCAGCAAAATATTATCACTTGTGGTATTATATATAAGAATATTTCCTAGAATTATTTATGTTTCCATAAAAAAAGATATGGATCATAAAATATAAAACATGTTTCAAAACTTCAATTTCATTCATTTTTGGTTGATCTAGAGATATCTTCGTGTAGAAGTTACAACGATATATAACATCGTACCTTTCTATAAGTATTCGATGTGTTCCGGTCTCCATTGAATAACTACTTCACCGGATATATGAACTTCTTAGGTTTTGAATCAGGGTGAATCGAAATATCAAAAATATCTTAAGATTTCTCATTGAATAACTAACACCCTTTATGAGATATTGCGTTCAAATGAATCTATCCAGTAGATTTGTACCAAAAAGAGTGTATGGAGAATGGAGATTGATTAGAGTTGATCCACCATCTTCTGTCCATCCTTGTCTGTAGCTATACATAAGGATTCGAAAACTTATATTGTTCTGTACCAGGATGAACAGAAGATGTAGAAACTTTTATCAAATCCCATCTACTGTTATTCGGTCAAAGTTCTTGACCTACGACCTACTTGACAGAAGGATTCTTTTCAATATCGAGGAATATAGGTCGCATTTTACCCGTTAGATGGCGAAATCTCAACCGAAATTCAAGATTGGTTGATTTGTTGATAATTAAAATTCCCCAAAATTACAGTTTTGTACTTTCAAATTTACTCTCATTTGATTTGAGGTTATGGTATAAATGTTATGATATCTTTATTTCTGGTATAAGCGCCGTTTTCTGTCATGAAAGAAATCTCTGAACAGTGTCGCCATCTTGCAGGCAACTGAGAACTAATATGCCAGTATCGCGGAATCTGCGGTCAAGCGTTTTGGGAGAAACAAAACACTGTCTGTTTACACCATATTCTATTCCAATTTCTATTCACCTTGTTCTGTACATAGGGCGTGTTTTTCATTCCAACATTTTGTCATGCGCATGAATCGAAGAATCCATCGTAGTGTTGCAAAATTCCGCTGGAATGTTGTTGGAAATCCATCAAACTGTTGTAATAAAATGCGCACTTTCAAATCGCTTTGCGGGAATCCAGCGGTTTGGAGGAGACTGACATGACAATTGACACATTTTACGTATTGTTTCTCGTTGTTAATTGAAAATATAGAGAAATTTTTGAATTTTGAGATTGTTGAGAGATTTGAGAATATGGAGAAATAAGTCTTAATCAATAAAATGGTTTCATCTTCTTCTAATAATTCTGAAGATACATAACGACTGACACACAACGAAATCCTTTTTTCCATCAATGTGTTGTATAATCCATTCTTCCATCGTTCCAGCATAAATTTCATCAGAACAATTGGTGACGTCACGACAAAAAACCGCATCTATCAATGCGCACTTCCTTCGATGGAATAAAAAACACGCCCTTTGACACACTTTGAATGGACAAATTCTGGCGCCAAATTTAAAATATTGCATATAGCCTCATTTGGAATGTATTGAAAACACAATTTTCATCTGGGCTGTGTAGAGAGCTCAGAATTGAATATAATGTAGATAGCCACATCTGGAACTCACCCATCTATGTGATTATTTCATGTATTACAGGAATTTTTAATACGCAGTTATTCAGCATTTAAAATCATCACTTTTTTTTTTTTCAATAATTGACCTCCCGCCAATACCACTGACTCTCGATGGCGTGATATACCGATTAGAAATATAATTATTTCATTGCTCAACAAAATATTTTCACATGCTACATAAAAATAAGAATTCACCTAGTTCCACAGTAGAAGTGTACTGAATACTGAATAAACACAATTCATAAGCCGTATCGTACATATTTGCAATGAATTGATCACGGTATATGACGTCAAGCAGTTTCCCGCATTTTTCTGTTATGAATCGAAATATCGTGAACTTCAAAAATGATTTCAAAAATGTACGGGGTGAAAAACTAAGAACAGCTGTCGGCCATATCTCAGCAACGAATAATGATACAAGTTTGAAATGAATAAAACTAATGGTATGGATATCATTACACGATGTAATAAAAGAAACTAAATTTCAACAGACCAATGATAACCGCAACATGATAACTTTCCGCCAACGGAAGATATTAATTAACTATCAAAGTTGGAAGAATGCGTGACATGAGGAGAAAACGGTAATCGCGTAGACGTGCGTTGGAAGCCAAAATATCAGATATTGTGTGCTGGAACTGTCTGCAGACAGTCGTGCATTGAGCTGTTTCTCTTCTTTCTCTTTTCTACCTTCCTTGAACGAGAGGGAAAGGTTTGTTATTTGTTAATCTGTGATGCTACCAACGTCGTTTATTTTTACGGTTATTTTCAATTTTGATTTTTCAACAGTAGTAGCTTAATTTAAGTTGAAATGATTTTGAAATAATATGGTATCAATTTCCTTTGCAGTTTATTGAACATGCTCTGTGAAATTATTCCCATTAGTGAGTAGGGAAAATATATAGCTACCAGGCATAAGATAGGAATATCAAGACAATAATATTTGGGAAGGATGTGTTTCACTGGAACCCTGTGGGAATACCTACCTGCTTGAAGTATTTTATGGATGTTAAATTGGATGAACAGACACAGCTTTGCTTAAGTGAGATTTTGAACTATTGAGCTTGTATCAAAGTTTGATTATCAATTTTCAAATTTAGGAGCCCAAGACCCAGTCAAAGACTAACAACCAGGAAAGTTACCTAACTGGTATAGATATTTCAAGTGAGAGTGTACAGTAAAATATATTATGGCTTCAATGACAAACTCTATCACCCCATGTTTCAACCTGAAATCATTAGATGAAACATCTTTAAGAAAGAAAGTTACATTTAATATCAGCAACACATCTGATATGGAAAATCAACCTGGTGATGTTCAAAATCCTTTAGAACTAAAGAATAATTGTAAATCTGCTATATCTAATCCAACAACACCTCAAGCTCACATTGAATTCAGTCAGGAGCTGAAGAAAGTCATAAATGAAAGAAACATTCTTACTTCCAAAACTAGAAAGACTGTTTTTGATGCTTTGGATCAGATGAAATCACAAAGTGAAGAAGAGAGTAGAAATTACAAAAGAGAAAGAGCATTGTTTGAAATAGTTAACAGTGAAATAAAATATGTTCATCAGTTAGAGATAATCCTCAACTTCTTCATGAAACCTACAAAGGAACAAAAACTGTTGAGAGCAGATGATTTTCATATTATGTTTGGAAATATCATCACCATTTATAATATAAACAAAGAATTGTTGGATGAATTGAATTTGGGAATACATAATGTAACTAATGCATTCTCTAAGATCAGTCCATTCCTAAAATTGTATTCAGTGTATGCATATGACTTTAAGCATATTCTAAACATTTTACAGGTGAGTTAATTTCAAATTGTTCAAATTTTGGTGTTGATTATTTGAAGTATTCCAGGATGCAAGGTCTTTGAATCCCAATTTTGCTAAGTTCATTGAAAATCAAGAATCTCGTCCTGAGGTTCAGAACAAATTGTCTGCCCTATTGATAACACCAATACAGCGTGTTCCTAGATATAAACTTTTGCTGAAACAACTTCAAGAACTGACTAAACCCACTGAAAAAGAATATGATAGGCTCTCAGGTATGTTGTAGCACTAGATATTTTGAGGTATATGCCACATATTACATAAGTCCTTGCCTAAGTCCCTGATTTTTATTCATATATCATATATGGATTGAATTTGAATGATTCAAAAATAGAATTCCTGATAGTAATTATAATAAGTATATGATTACTAATAACATTTCTTGTAAAATAGCCTCTACTAATAGTTCAAATGAAAACTGAGCTAAAAAAGTGTTATAGTGGTAGCCTTGGTGGTAGCTGACTGACCTGAATTCACTTCCATTCACTTAGTACCCAAATACCTAACTACCTATCACCTACCTACCTACCACCTACCTACCTATAATTATCATTACTGTTTCGGCATGGAATAAATTCAATATTTCTGCTATGCCTAGGGTTTCCAAAACAGATAGGTCCATTTTGTATTTTGATATCCCATTTTCTCATTATCTGACCAAAATCAAAAATATTCAGGGTAATGCATACCTGAGTATAGTGATTCAATAGGCACTTATTTCATTTGAAACAGAGACACCATGTTCATTTTTCCATATTCAGAAAGGAATTTTCATTTTAAATGCAATGATACCTACCAGGTTCAATATGTCAGATGACTGAGAAGTTTGGGTGAAAAACTTCCATTCAGGGTCAAATTGAAGAGTTCTTGTTCCATATTTTTTTTTATTGTTTTATGTGGGTACATGGTTCTTTAAATTCCTCATGAAAAACCTTATCTGAATTTGAAATGTTGAACAGGATGTAATCTCCTGTAATAATGATAAAAACAATTGCGTTTACCCAGTATAAATCTGGTATTTAGTTAAGAAAAAAATGGATGTCCAAGGGTTTTTTCCAACACTCAATATGAATGAAATAATGTTCTATACTTCAGGGCTATACTGTGGTATATTTTTAACCAAGTGTACTTTGATTCATTATGAGGGAAAATAAAATCCCCATATTTTTATATCATTTGGTATGGCTATTTACTTGGAATTTTTTGATACTTTGATTCATGGTTTTGTTTTGATTGAATGAAATTTCCAGATTGTTTGGATAAAGTAACTGATGCAGCAGATCACATCAACAAGATTGTGAAAGATCAAGAAAATATGCAAAGAATACTTGAAATCCAAAGATATCTGAAGAGTGGTGAACCAATTATAGTCAAGCCAGGAAGAACTTTGATTAAAGATGGAATCCTTGTGAAAATGTCAACAAAAAATTGCCCCAGTGAACAACTGTATACTGTTTTAATGAATGACATCATACTATTTTCTAAAATAAAAAAGGAGTTGAAAGTGAACTCCCTAAAATGTCTCAGCATTTTTCCACTTGGGAAATGCAAGATTGTAGAAGTTCTGGACAAGGGATGTCTGAAAATAATTTGTCAAGAAGAAGAACTCATTTTGTACCATGAACAATTTGATGAGACAAAAAATTGGATTGATAAAATTCAAAATGCCATCAAGAGCCATCTGAGTGACAGAAAAACTTTGAGGAAAGACAGTTCTTCAAGAAGGCCAGTTAAGAGAAAAGATCTGCATGAATATCATGAAATAGGCATAAGTCCTGGGAAGCCTTTAAAAAAACTAAAAATGGTAAGCAATTCAACTCTTTTTCATCTTCCATCAACAGAATGTTTTTAAAATTAGAATGATTGATGTAAATGGTATTAGAAGACACAAAATTGGAATTGCCTGCAACAATTTGTAAATCATGGATCTGAGCTCATCAAGAGAACAAATGCTTTGTTTTCTGTGTGGCCAGAAGTTTAAGAATTTTGATGATTTTGCTGGACTTTCAATAAAAGTTGAAAGAATTGGTATCTATTGGGCTCCAATTTAAGAAATGCTGAACTCTGCATGTATAGTATAATAATAATAATAATGATTATGGTCATCATATTAATAACAATATAAAAACAATATTTTTCAACTGAATAAGATATACAGTTTCATTCATAAAGTTGGGGTCATATGGTAAAAACTTTTAATAATAATTTATCTTGAAATTTGACTTGAGCTTTCAGTTCCGCTTTAGAAAGATGAAAAATGGCCTACTCAGTCTGAGTCATGTGACTTGCTACATCTCAAAAGTCACATTTTCTCAAATTAATCTGAAAATTTAATTATTTCTTCAAATTTCATGAAAGTTTACAAAGAAAAGTGGTTTTCTATTCTAATTTTACACATAAGTCTCGAATTTGAACATTCTTTTGCAACTTTTAGTTCTTGAACAGCTCATTTTCTAATAATTCCTAGCAAAAACACATTTGAATGGTATGAAAAACATGGGGTCAGTAACAACATAGTGTGAAATTTGTAGCTGCTAAAATAATGGTTTTGGTACACACATACAAGATTAGACTTAACACAAGAAGTGGTTTTGTAAACTAATGTAGATTTTAGGAAATGGTTTGCTATGGGTGAGAGAACCATGCATGATATTCACAAAATGTAGTTAACATGATTTGGGTAGGTTCTTAAACACATGAGGTCATGGGATATATCACAGAATAAAAATGTATGTGGCGTGGTTTTTTCAGGAAACTGAGCTGAACTTTTTAGGAACTGACTCAAAGATGCCAAGGAAATTATTCACAAATAATTTCAGTAGTGATCATTCTAATGACATGATTTCTAATTCCCAGAACAAAACTGATAATGATATGGCAGTCAAAGAGGTGGCTGACTTGAATCATTCTGACATAACTGAAGGTACTAGTAAACCAAATGTGTCAAAAGAAGTTTTTGTTTTCGGAAGATCACGAAATAGTGACTTCACTTTCAAAATTGGAGAGTTCTTAGGAGGCGTTGGATCATCATTGAAAAAAATATTTGGTTTCAAAAAATGACATGCTTTGATAAATTATTTGTCATGAAGAACTCTCAGAATACTGTAGAGTAGGTGATTGAAGTTGTTTGATCAATTAAATAATTTTAATTATTCATCTTTTAAAATTAGAATTGTATTGTTGTGAAAGATTTGATCATAATTTTATATTGATAATGTATTTTATGCCGCGATTATATTTGTAAAAAATTACAAAAATGTCAGTTGTAGGGTTTTATGAATTTTAAAAAATATATTTTTACACTTTTACCAAGTTTTCATTAGCAACTCAGTACTTTCTCCCTTCAATTCTCATTGACGTTTTCCTTCTATAGAATTGAAGTTTCCAAATATAAATGATTGATTTTGGTATGTGAATATAATATCAATTTTCGGTTAAAGGAAATGTATAAAGACAGCACACATGAATTACATGAATATTTTCAGGGGAATCTTCAACATAATGTAAATCTAATTCATGACAGAGGTACCTACTGTAATAACAGTCAAATTTTATGCCTCAAAATTTTGTCCATACTGTACAAACACTATTCATCATTTGTAGCTATTATACAAATCACCAGACAAATCATACAACATATAAAATGCATGGAGTATCATGAGACTATTGAAGTTGAAAAAAAAATCAGGACAGTTCTGAAATGATTCACATTGCTGTCACATATATGTTCCTCTTTAAATCTGGTTTTACTTTCTTTATCACTAGTAATTTTGCAATTCTTTGAAAAATATTATTTGCTCATGTGAATTTCATTTGTCTGTGATACTGGAGACTGACACAAACTCTAATGTACAATGAAATAATAAACGTGAAATACTGACTTCACATTGAATGTTAGAGGCTTCTAAGGAGCTGTAAGATTCGGTGTAAAGATTATTTTCAAAAATATTGTATTCAATTGTTTGGTTAAACGATCCTGATATCATTCTAAAACCAGTTGAATTCTTCGCAAATATATCCATTATAGAGGGTATAACAAAAAACTCTGGGGAGTTTCTATATATGTATCACATTCTTCTCAAATCTGACATTTTCTGCATGAACAATCCTATCCTTTCTTCGTCTAGTTCCGCACTCCACTTTCCACCCTTTTTGAAGTGAGATCCTACGATCAGTCCTTGTGCTGTGATATAATTATCTAAATTTTCGTACGTAACTCCGGATCCAATGAGAATAGGTAACGCCGTACTTTGTTTCAAAGTCTGTAATTCTGTGATGTTAGCTGGGTCCCCTGTAGATGCGCCTGTCAAAATAACTCCATCGGATAGAAAAAACTCAGCTGCCTTCGCGGTCTCGCCTACAGATATGTCATTCGTAATTGCATGAGAACTGAAAAGAGAATGTCTACTATAGCTTGATTTCATTCCTTCAGTTCTGAGATATGGCAATGATGATATAAGGGTATGATATCCTATAATAAAAGCGTTAATTTTTCTCATCATTCAAAGTATGTGTTGCGATAGAGGAAAGATAGTTATTTTTTCAACTCATGGAACAAACGATAGGGAATCCTCATTATGTTCAAGGAACATCGTGCGTACTCAGGGAGGATAGGAAGAGAAGGTAGATATTGTTTTTTTTTTGTGAGCTTTTGGTGATTATAAAATCTTGGAAATACTTCCGTAGCCAAATAATTCCAAAGCCGTTCTATAGACAAACGAGTTCTGATTCTTGAGTTATGGTGGCATTTAAATCAACTAGGTTGTTGGTTTCCCAGGCTGTAGCTATTGTTCCATTCTGGTAACAGTGGTGGGAAGAAACGTTTGCAAATAAAACGACTATCACCTAGCATGAAAGAATAGATGATAAAGGTTAAATTTTCATTTTGTTGCTCCGAATAATTTCAAAATTATAATACTTGAGTTGAAGATCAATAAATTGAATCAACGCATATCTGGAGCAGTGCTTTTGCGGATTGGAGAAAATTCTCCGAGATCGAGAGAATTCATTTCATCTGGGAATGAAGATTTGAAACCTGTCTTACTTGGAAGAATCATAAACTTGTGAAACTCAAGATGGAAATGTCTTCTAATCGTCTCCTACTCTCAAGAAGTTTCGTTTTTCATCAATCTAATTTCATTTTCGACAACTGTCAACAGTCATTCCATATCATTCCTTGTAGTGAGACGGAATGAAAAGTAGCAACCGGAATCGGAAAAGTTGCAAATAAAGCGACACATTTGAAGTGATTCCGGTGGCGGAATCCGATAAATAAAATGCAACTAGTATCTTCATTGACAGCGTTCACTTGCATTCGTAGTGAGCTCTTATATAGTTTCCTGGTAGGAAATGGGGATTTTTGAACAGAACTCTGGAGAGTAATGTCATCTGGAAAACTGTTGATAGTTCAAGTAGTTACTCCCAATAGATCATTTATATAGAGTAAGATGAATGTTGGTGCTAAAATTGGTCCTTGTGGAACGCCAGAATTGATGGCTATGGATAACAAATGAAATTTCGTCCACCACCGCATGGAGCGATCTGCCTCAAAAAACACTTGATAAGAGAAAGGCATAGCTGAGGTGGTAAGCAGGTGGTTTGTGGAGAAGTACTTGGTGCAAAAATTGTTCGAATGCTTTCAATATATATCTAATGTCACAGCTAGAGGTTTCCCATGTTTTATCTAATGAAGCTTGCCAGATATGGCGAAGGCGAGTAAATCTATACAGTCGATCTTCGAAGGCGAAAGTTATATAGCCGGTCTATCATTGATGATTTTTTTTAGCTTTTTAGATGTTTCTTCATGAGCTCAATGATATTAGTTACCCATGCTATACATCGCTTGTAATAGTTATACAGTTCTTTTCTTCAATGCTCATCCCCCCCTTGATATTTTTAACGGGTCAACGAAAAAAATTTAAACTTGAGGTAATGAATACTATATGCTGGAGTAAAATTGACAAATGAAAATTCCAAAATGGTGACTGGGTGCCATCTGAGGAAAAATTGAATGGAAGGGTGGGGTCTTGTGATACATCTTCTTGAAGCTCCTGACGAATACTTCACAACCCTAGAAAATGAAGTCAATATCTCCACCTTCTACAAAATGGCAGAACTTTAATAACTGCCTGAATACATCGACGTTTACTACATAATTTGAGGAAATGAAATGAGCTGAGTTCAGTTCAGAAGATGCTCGAAATGGTTGCCTTGAACTTTTTGACATAAGAACAGCCCATCCGATATTTCACGCCGAACACTTTCGAACACATCAGTTACGTCGATATTTCTACAAATATTTATCATTCTATGTCGTATATCCAATGTCAAATCAGATGCAGTTTCGTACACATTTTGCTTCAAATAGCCTCATAAAAAAGGTCTAAAGGTGTCAAATCTGGCGAGAGGGCTGGCCATTCCGTAGGACCTCGACGGCTAATCCAACGACCAGGGAAAGTATTATCCAAATGTTTCCAACTTGTCTGTAGTAATGTGGTGGTGCCCCATCTTGTTGGAATAAAATATCCAAATTGATGTGTTTGTATTAATTCTGCCATTTTGTAGTAGTAGAGGTCACCCGTTCAAAAAATTGAAAGAGGGGACATTGAATAAAAGCACTGTATATTGCTGTAGTTGTAGTTCTTCTGTTCTTTTTGATTCGCTAAAAGATTATTATGACCCAGGTAGCACATGACGACTATATGACGTCTAATTGACGGCATCACATTCGGCCTAAAGACGTCTTTATTTCAACAAATGCGACGTCCAAATGACGTAAGTAAGACACATCCAAATGACGTCATATTTGAAAGTCTTTTAGACGTCAGTATGTGTTTTCAAATTGGACCTTAAACTGACACTACTGACCAATTTCCGACGTCAATAAGACGTCTGTTTTTTTTAATAAAATTTTGAGGTTAATGTTTATAATCTGGTGAGGAAGGTAATCATTTGTGCTATAAAATAAATTTGCTACGAATGAAGATTTTATTAACAAGATAGTAATGTAAGGTTTCAGCGTCGATGGCTCCCTTTCACTGAGAGCTCTTTTGTATGTTTTGCTGTCTTTAAATGGCGGCCAAAACACTTCCTTTTTCAACGGCGTCAGCCAAGTTTCGTGAACAACAGGTACACTGTGTTGCTTCCACTGTCATTAAATTGTATTACACAATACATCCTGAATATTTTCACGTGAAAAACAGTGAAAAACACTCAACATTTTAACATTATTAACAAATTCAATGGCACTGACGCCGTTCACAAACAACGCCCATTCGAACATGGACGATGGACAATGAACATGAACGGGAACGCACCATGCACGATGCAAGCTTGACGCTGAACCACAGAACGGACCGCTGAACGGCACTAACGCCACTAACGGCAGTCGCAAGATGGTCGCGAGTCGCATACACAATCTCTTCGCGTGATTACTTGATCGCCATTGGCCATCTGGTCGGTAAGTGAGAATTGTCTTTGGCGCTAAATTTAAACATTGAAAATCAAGGGAAGCCTATGGAATAAAGTACATTTGTATCATACATTTATACAGTTATTTGAATAAATTAATTAATTTATTTTATAACTTTGTTTTCCTATACATAATAATAATAATAATAATAATAATAAAAATAATAATGATAATAGTAATAATAATAATGATAATGATAATAATACCCAAAAAAATATGAAGACCATAGATTGACGTCTATACGACGTCAAACAGTAGCTGTCCATAAGACGTCACATTAATGACGTCCGCATGACGTCATAATTTGGTCAAAAGACGTATGAGACCAAAAAAGACCTTAGATAGCGGTCCTATAGACGTCACATTCGTCAGTCTGGCTACCTGGGGACCTGCTAAGTACACCTGGCAGATGATGTTTTCAATCCTTCAACCCCCAAGAATCAACCTCGTTTTGATTGTCTGTACATGCAATACTGCTTCTTATTTCTTGATTTATAGCAGATGGCTCATTTTATAAATCAATATATCCCACCTATGTTTTTTCTTTATATCTGTTAAAACTAGAATATTCTCTGCCTCTATTTTCTTCCTGTATCGCATTAGTAAACCAGCTTCTGCATCAATGAATCCTTCATCTCCAATATGACTGAAAACGAATCCTTCTGCTCTGATGAAATCCATAGAACAAGTTTTTGCTATTGCAAGTGCTTGAGTATTACCGCTGGTTAAAACCTGTTGAGAAGAAAATGTTATTGTAGGTTTTGGTATTCAAGTTGAAGAGTTATTTGGAATTAGTTCAATATTAGAGAAACTTTTATAAGAATTCACAAGTTTATTTTGACTGTGTCAGGATATATGATGGGTGAAAGTAAAATTAAAGAATACCATTATTATGTCGACTATATAAATTGATGCCCACTGTAACTGAACTCCAATAAAATATAAATATAATATAATACATATATGTCTATATGTATGACTATTATAAGATTTTAAACGAAGGCATCGTAGATAGACACAATTTCAACACTGAAACACATTTTTATTCACTCAGGACGGCTTGTAGAAAGATGACCGTTTATAAAAATACAACATCGACAAGTGATTCGTTCTGATGCTACGATGCTTCAATCTTCGATCACACGATGATTACGAAACCCATCGAAAACTGATGAGTCGTCGAGGCCGCTTGTGATAAGGCATTCTTCTCAATTACGGGGTGATTTGAACAGCTGACACTATATTTATTTTGAGACAAATACCTTTGGCAACATTTTTGTTGCCTCAACTGTTTTAAGATTATTTACACGAAATATATTGACGTCCCATCAATATGTGCATTCATATTTTTGTTACCAGTCTCCAACAGTTAAGTTGTGCATGAATTCACCATTATTCTCAAATAATATCAGACAGAAACCAATAAACAAACCTGAATTCCGAAGGCAGTTTTTTTGGGAATGATATTTTTCAATTCGGTACAAATCCTAGTCATGGCAGCTGTTGTTTCGGGCCCAAAATGTTTGGATTTTATGTATGGGACATCGTGCATATTCTCGATTATTATTCCATCCTGAAAAATTGATAAATGTTTTGCAAAATTCACTGCATCCCATCAAAATGTCTTTTCAGGGTACTCACAACTTCATGTTTCAAATATGTTTCCGTTTCTCGATGTGCTTTCGATACAATTTTATCGATTGATCCAGCAAATAATGGAGATCCTGCGAATAAAGATACATTTTATATATAATATTCTCATTGTTTCTACAAAATGAAAAATGAGCATTATTTCAATATACGTGTAGTGGGACAAACGAGATGGTTTGTCCGAAAATGTCACTGCCTTTAAGAAATTTTCTATCAGAGAGCCTAAAAAAAATTCATTCATTGTAGATTGATTGAATAAAAAATTTAACGAGCAGTCGTGAAATGTTGTTGTAGTAATTTTTAAAAAAATCAGACCTACTACGAGTTGCAGTGGTATAGGTATTTAAATTTCCCGCTATTATGCGAAACCGGAGGAATGTGGCAACATCGGTTACCAATACGGTACCTACACCATACGTTCCTTAGGCTGTCTTTATAAATATTAATAATTACTTATTTCATATCTCATCACGTGCTGACTACGTACCTACCAATTCATAATATTTGCGTAATATGTGTACTTCAGTAGCTCAACTATTGCTTTTTTATGTTCATGTTAAATATATGTTGAAGGTTTTGTCCTGATATAGTGACCCACATGTAAAATAAGTTCCATTACCTGGTAGAGCTCCCACGTGTACCATTCCTATAATCGAACATTTGTTTTGGAATATCTGGTGAAATTTTTTCATCGGTGAGTTCATAATAATTGAATACCTAGATTTCTTATCTTATATTTTCATTTATAGTCGCGTTTTTGCTGAACTATGTACATATAGTATTAGATAAGGCGGGTATTAAAACGAACTGTGTCTGCTGAAGATGTTTTCGTTTCACTATCTAGTTTACTCATAGGTCAGTGAGTTTACCTCGCAGAGGTCAAAGAGCTGAGATTATCATTTTGTATTCTGTTATCTTGTTAGAATTGTTAGAATCAGTTAACGAATTAAATAATTAATCAGCGCAAGAACGAGTGTACCAAAACAATTCGGCGGTATAGCATAATCAATTAAAAAAATAGGCATCAAAGTAAAACGGATGCAAATGAAAACTCACTAGGAATGAATAAGACAGGCTAAATAGTTCATCAAAAAACCGTCGTCGAACTTCAAAGAATACAGTGCTTTCGTAAAGTACTCAATAAATTCATTTTTAGCCAAACTGTCCACTTCTGAGGAATCACCTGAAACAGACCAATTTTAATTTTCAATTTGCCCCATTTGCCACAAAAAATCAGATGTATGCAGGGATCCACGTTTTACTTATATCGACCATGAAATTTTTTCAAAATGAAACATTAAATTTTCCGAATTTCCATGGAGAGCTAAATTCAAAAATGTATTACACATAGCATAGATCTATGCACATAGTATACATTTGTATACAGTGCGTCCGATAAATTAAATGCTCTCGATCGGTAAGTGGTGGATTAATACCTTTTTCTCAATACAACAGAGGTCGACTTTAATTTTCAATTTGCCACATGTATGAGGAAAATTCGAATTTACAGGGTGATCCACGTTTGTGTTATGACGTCCGCGACAACTTTGTCAAACGGAACACCCAATATATATTATGGAATTTTCGAAATCCTTATGAAAGCCTGAAGTTTTGAAAACTATATCACATACGCGGTCGCCATAGCTCAAACGTGAATCATCCTGTATATTCAATTTTTCGTTATAAATGTGGAAAATAAAAAATAAAAATCGACCTGTTTAAGTAGATTTCTCAGAAATGGATTGTTTGGCTAAAAATTAATTTATTCAGTACTTTACGAAAGCAATTATTATTCTAAGTGATAATGAGAACAAAACTGTTAGGCATGATATTCAGGAATTGTAAAGACTTCCAGAATCAAGAAAGTTATATAAATCTTTTCAACTCATATGTGCGATCGCGGTTAGAGTATGGTTGCCTTATATGGTCCCCTATATATTCAACATATAGTCAGAGTCTAGAGTCAGTACAGAGATTATTCATGAAATATGTTGCATTCAAAATTGATGGGATATACCCTGAACAGGGTATAGACAACGCTTCACTGCTGAATAGATTTTCTTTACTATCTCTCGAAGACCGAAGAAAGTATTACTCATGTATATTTATTTATAAGCTTACACATAATCTTGTGAATTGCCCAGATCTATTGTCGCACAACTCAACTTCCATGTGCCTCGCTTGAATAACCGAAATGAAACATGTTTAAGGTTCGTTAATCTGTGGTTTGTATCTAACAACACCAAGAACAAATATAATAGCCAAGTCTCCCGTATACCGAATCTGTAAGAATTTTAATAATATCTGCAATCAAATAGATCTATTTTCAACACCAATAATTTCAATAATTGTTCAAGAAATACTCTCCTCAGAATTGAGATGTAAATTTATATTCAATTGTAACTTACTATTTATCATTCTTGTACTAAGTTTGCTGTGTTGATTATGTTGCTTGTCCTGTAATTGGGTGTAATACCTGTTTGGACAATAAATGTTTTTTTTTTTAACTAGAATAATCGAACAGCCCACGGAATAGATTTAAGGAACATATGAATACTATTGGCCTATGGCAGAATAACTCATATGCAGGTTTTCTCAGGAACAGTAGATATACTCATACTTTTTGCCACTATGAGGACTTATTTACGTCTCATGCTTGTTACGGCTAAGGTGGAAGAAAAACGAAAAATTCCAAATCAAATGGAGAACCGGGAAACAAGCCTAAAGAAAGAATTTGAGGACAGGCAGTAGGGACACAATAATTTGATATAGATATAGATAGATAAGTGTTTGGGATCACACGTTAAAAGGTAAGGCCCCCGTCATTCCTTGCTCGCACAAGACTTTCGAAGACTTTTGAGGGTTGCTCGTAAGGGGGCAACCGAATGACGGATAGAACAAATTTTAGAACAAAACAAAAATACCAGAAGCAGGTAGCGAGTTAGGTCATTAAGCCCTCATTTGGATGATCTATCAATCAATCTTATGTCAACATCGATATCGATGTATTATTAACCTAACAGAAATAATGTTTTGAAAGATCCAAAAACATAAGCATTTCTGAAGATTGGTCCAGATAATTATGTGCATGGTTTTATTGCACAATTATATTATTGTCTTATGTAGAATCAGATGCAATGACATAAAAACTACGGGAAAACATGTCCAACTTTCAATCTGAGCCAGGAATTGAGAATGTTGGCTAACGCGAATAGGTAGAAATTTCATGTTGGAATTTGAAAAAGATAATGGAGAATTTATACACCACTTGACTTAGTTTTAACTCAGGAATAGTGAGTGATAATTGGTTAATTTCAGATATTAATTCTCAAATCACCAATAACCTTATTTAATTCTCAAGTTAGGAATGAGTTGAGTCGTCACCATAAGTGAAAGACACAAATAACATAATAAAATTTTATTGTTTTCAATTTTTTATATATTCTTTTCATTCTTTTATAACACCACATGAGTTCCTTTCACAACTTCGAATATAGTTGCCACAAAATTATTGTAAGTATACCTAGCACTCTCATTAACTCCTATTTCATCATTAAAACACTACTCATACATGTTGATACACTAACAGCTATTCGTGCTTCATACACTCGCACTCTGTTGACATACATTAACTATTTCAGCTCATGGGAAACAAGCAAATAAATTACATACCATTTTGATAATTATTCACAAACATCCTACCTTTCGATCATTTGGAATAATAAAATATAATAACAGAATCGAACATATTCTCGTTAGAAAACAGCCACAAAATATTAATGTTGAAATTCGTCATTTGGTTTCACTTCAATGAACGTTTATCAAACTTTTTTTTTCACATTTTCTGATGATGGATATACTAACATCAACTCGTCTATGTAATAATAAAAGTACATATCATATTTTAGTGTAGGCTTGCTAAAATCCAATGAATTGGTGAAATTAATGAAAAATGTGTTTCATTTTTTTTTAGGGCATTTCATTTGAAATATTCATAATTCAAGAGTTGACACTGTAGGTGTTCGATATCACACTTGGATTCATGATGACAATACATCTATTATATTTCTTATACACACTATGGTCCATTAAAGTTTAAAACCTATGGAATAAAGGTTTATCAATAGAATGATAAGAGCATTTCTCTTGATGATCGAATATACATGTCCGATAACCTTGAAATCGATCGATTTATCACGTGACCACTGGCATAGCGGCGAATTGAAAAAAATGACTATCAAGTGGCATTAAGTAATGAAAAGGAACACTCTCAGATATATTTATGAACACAAAAAAATGGATATATACAGTGTGTCCACCTTAAGGACTTACCATCCCTGTGAAATTGTTATTATCTGATCGATTTCAAAAAAAATTTTTTTGTTGGATAGGTATTTGAAATTTCCATCCAACAAGAGAGTAATTTTACTCATGAACTGTAATCGTGGCCAACTGCGACCAACTTTATTGACCCATATTTGAGAAAGTACTATTAGGGATTTTTTTAACAAAAAACAATGATGGGTTCTGAATCACGATCACTTGAAAAACATCTTTACTGATTTTTATCTTCAGAAAACACGGGGTGTCCGAAAAAACGAATTATATTTTTTTTTTCAATAGGTGATCAGAAAATGTAGTATTGTAGTATTTTTGAGAAGAATTGATGACACATTATTATTGAGGATCACTTTGAACATATCTGTACCGATTTTCATCATTCGAAAATACGATGTATATGAGAATTAATTTGATTTTTCGAACACCCTGTGTTTAATGATGATGAAAGTCGGTATGTTCCAAGTGATCCTGATTCATTTTTTTATTTTGAGTGAAGAATTATCAGGATGAAAAATATTGCATACCTATCCTATTTAATTTTTTTCTCAGACACATTGTATATTCAAATGACGAAAATTGGTACAGATATATTTGAAATAATCCTCAATGATAATTTGTGATTATTTCTTTCTAGAAAAATCACAGAACTACATTTGCTGATCACCTATTCGAAGAAAATGATGATTCGTTTCTTCGGACACCCTGTGTTTTATGATGATGAAAATTGGTACAGGTATATTTCAAGTGGTACTGATCCAGAATCCATCATCAAGTTTCGTGGAAAAAATTCCCTAATAGTACTTTCTGGAATATAGGTCATTGAAGTTTGTCGCAGTTGGCCACGATAACAGTCCAAAAATTAGATCACTCTCTCGTTGGATGGGCATTTCAAATACCTATCCAACAAAAAAAGCTTTTTTGAAATAGGTCGGATAATAACGATTTAACAGGGGTGGTAAGTCCTTAAGGTGGACACATTGTATATAAAGAAATACATTGAAATCGCATTCTCCATGTGATGAAAATATCAATTCTTTCACGGTTTATTCAACAGAAAACAACTACTTTCCTGGCTATATGCCACGACGAATATTGAATTGCATCTATTGAACACACTCGATGAGAATTCGAAAACAAAGTCTCCTGAAGTAGAGAATTTGCATTCTCCTTCATATAAGTAAGATCAGATGAAATCATATCTAGAAGAATTTGCTTATAATTCAATTCTAGAACCACCAACAAAGTTCCTGCTCTAGCTGATTTTGGTTGTGGAAAGTAGACCACTCGAATCACGAATGTCAGTGAGATCTGATTTTTCACCGATAGTCGTGTAATTTTGATATAAATATAAGTAACAGTGAGGATCCTGGCAAAAACCCAAGTTCAATAAAAACATGGAAGGTTTCACTCTATACAAGCTATTTATAAAATGACAATCAGATATTTAGAAACTAATTGTTAAATTCCTGAATAAATTTCAAGTATTTTCT